GTTCCAACGATCAGACATACTCTGCTACAGAACCTCAGTGTCACTGAACAGGCATCAGAATGTACCCCGGGGTCAATTGCGGAGCTTGTATCCCATCTCTGCCTTCCTGCGCTGCAAAAATTGACACTCATTTACAAAGAAGGGCCAATTATCTTGCCGACCATAGACCATGATACCACTCCTGTCTTGACCGACCTCGAGATCTTGTCAGATCCTCCTACGATACTGGATGAAAATTCAGTAATCGACATGCTAAGGTGGACCCCGAGACTAAGGCACCTCGAGCTGGCAGTAAAATTTACGACACCTGACATTATCAAAGCTCTTGGGGACGTCGAAGATGAAGTCTTTGAGCTGATTCCATGTCTGGAAACCATCTCTTTAATGGGCGCTGAGTTTCAGTTTGATGACTATGGTCATGTAATTACTGAGATGGTTGAGGCTCGATCTAGGACAGAACACGAGGGTGTGGCTTTCAGATTCTTGGAGGAGGTCTATTTGAACGAAGAGATAGGAGATGAGGAGATCTGGGAAGAACTGTGTCATGGAGGCCTGAAAGTATTTGTTATAGCAACATAACTGGTATACGGACCAAAAGTACATGTTTTGTCGCAGACCAGCTGACATTTTTAAAAAATGCGAGGAGCGTACGCCGGCTCGTCTTGTTCGACAAATGTTATGCCCGTTTCTTCACTCTTTATATTGATCGTGCGTTAACGATTAGCATGGGGACAGTGCGCGAGAATGGACCAGCAGAGTCAAGTTGGTTAGTGAGTTCAGGACCGGCTTGTGGCACAGAGGAAAACAAATGGCATTGTATAAAGTTGCAGTACTACGTCCATGCACCCCGCTCGAATACTCCAAACCTATTTTCTGTGGCAGCAATTTGAGCCTTTGAGGATCAATCACGACTCGCAGGCGGGCTTTGGGTCATCATGAGGTCAGAAGAAAAAACGCGTTCAACTCAGGAAGCTCCAAATAGTGGAACCAGTTTTTATATAACGTCGAATGAGGCCACAGTATAGGATATCGAGGTGTCCGTCGCGGTAAGCCGACCAAGCGCACAGCCACATAGGGGACGTCACAGGCGCGTCTGTCATTGCACATGTGATTTGTGACACTAACGTCACCCAAACATCGACCGTCATCATCTGCTCCGCTAGAGTCGTAGACCGGCAGCAGAACTGTGCATTCCATCCGTTTTCAGGTAATACCGTTTCCAGAAGTACCCGAAAATGAACCCCACCGATTGTTATTGTCGTTTTTCAGCTCGGGTTTGAAAGAAGCATCGAACGACAAAGTTGGTGACAGTGGTGGTTTGTGTGTATCATTATTGGCATTGCATATCGTATAATCGTGATTCTTCTCAGGTATTGATCTTTGTCAACAGCGCCCCAAAGCCTGGCTGATTGATTCTCTTGTTCTACAGCTCCGATTTCGAACCGAAGCACTTTAAACGACCTCAGTAACGGTGGTTAATCCTATGACAGGTATGCTATCTCATTCACTCGGCGCATGCGATGCTGAAATGCTATATTCTCTCTGATAGATGGACAAAATTCTCCAGGCCAATACTCTGACGCATCCGAGTCACTCGACGTCAGCCTGTCCCACCTGTGGTTCTATATCTCTCCGATCTGAGGCAGTGCGGGAGCCTCCCTCAGCTGCGCTACTGAAGCTTCTACAATCCAACAACTTACCTTCTGACGTAGAGCGTGTGGAACTCATCGCAACCGCCTCCACATGGACGTCTCAAATCTCAGATCTCGACCAGGACATCGCTCAAGTGCAGGCAACGCTGAAAGCCCTCGTTCTCAAGCGAAGTGGGGTGTCACAGAACCTGAATGACGTTAAATCCACTCTGCATCCCATTCGATCCATTTCTGATAGCATTCTTCGGGAGATATTTTTGCGGTGCGTGAAGGGTTGGGACGACTTCGTTACAGCAACCACTGCCCACAATTCTCTTGACTCCAAACATCCCCCTTGGACGTTATCTCAAGTCAGCCACCAATGGAGGCACGTAGCCCTGTCGACTCCACGGTTATGGTCATCCATTTCTCTTAACTTCTACGCACAGCGGTCGGATGAAGACTTGTCCTGGTCTTTCAAGTTCGGGATCCATCTGCAGAGAGCCGGCCATAGTCAACTTGCTCTCAGAATATCCAGTTATAAAGACATCGCGAAACAACCTATCATGCCTATGCTTCTAACGAGCATGAGTCAATGGGGACGTTTACGAGTCGGGATGCCCTTCGCTTCATTCTCTCCTCTGTCTCTCTCTGCAACATATCTCAATTCACTTGTACAGCTTATCATCGATGACCCTTCGTCAGGCTACCACCCTTGCAAAATCGACACCTTTCGCATTGCGCCAGCTATCGTAGATCTCAAGACGTCTCCTCGAATTGCCCCTTACCTCGATTTACCCTGGAAAAACTTGGTCAATTTCCAGTGCGAGGGACTTCACTCTGACCGAAACTTGCAACTGCTTCACAAGTTCGAAAGCGTAGAAAAACTTTGTCTTCGTTTTAGTAGCTGCGGGGCAGGTTGCGGGCGATTACGGGAGGAAGTCGTTCTTCCGAGAGTCAAGTTTCTCAAGCTGAGTGAAGGGGACGACTATGCGAAGACGACCATCGTCGACTTTTTTTCAAAAGCAAAATTGCCGTCTCTGACTACTTTGATCCTCATCTATAACCACCATGGAAAGTTGGATTTTCCCGTCATCGACGCCGCTTCTTGCCCTGGACTACAGACGCTAGACATTAGATGCAATCGTTCACATCATGCCGAAAATCCCAAACGAATAGCAGCCTTCCTTTCCACGACACTGAATATCAGCTCGCTCACTATCTGCGCAAACGGTCTCAATAAAGTAGTCATTTCGAAGCTCGTTCGTCAGCAAGGGGAGTCGGACGCGATGCCTTATCTTCGAGTCCTTGATCTGCGGGGCTCAGAGATTACGGTTCGGCACGAATTGATTGTTAATATGGTTCTATCTCGGTGCAAAGAACTAGACGCACCCGGAAGCATGCATATCTTGCTGGAGAAACTATGCCTTGACGAGCCACTCGTGCTCAAAGATCTTCGAGTGGCTTCTCGATGGGAAGAAGCAGCTGAGCAGGGGCTACATGTTTGCTACGGAAAAGACTCGGACTAGTGGATCAACTTAATGAATGCTTTTCGACAAAGGTACAGTAGCATTATCTTCGCATTTCCCCCTCCGCTGACAGTAGCCATAGATCAAATATTTCTCGGAGAATAGTGCGTTTAGTACCAAGGTATGGAATCGGGGGCATCCGAAGAAAACGGTTTTCGAGGCGAGTAATACTAGGGCGTGTATACCCCAGCCGACGGCACGAGAGGAAGGTTTCCGCCATCAGAACGTACTTCAATGACGGTGACGTTGCCGAGAACACCAATTTTAAGAAGTGGTGAACGATAAAAAAAGAACAACGAAGGTAAGGTATGGAACACTGGTAAATTGAGATGACCGTGTTGAAGAAGGGAAATCGGCTTAGAGTTAGTGTTACTGAAAAATACGGCAAGGACTGTATCGAATTATTTCCGATATCACGGTAGGATAGATTGGAAGTTACAGCATTAGGCGCTGGTTCACAGTGTTAATTGAGACCCAGTTAGATTCTCAACGCGCACAACGACACCATTCTTCGAGATTTCTATGGAAATATGCATTTGAGAAAACGGTAAATACCTTGACTGTCATTAGAAAAGACCCGTAACGAATAAACACCAAACGACACCCAGTAAGGTATAGCGAATATTAAAATTTGAATATAGAATAAACCGGTATGCATGGACAGTACTTAGCTCAGAACACTAACGATCAAAAGTGTATCAGCGGAATAGGTACGATTGAAGTGGTCTGGAGCTCGCCCGTGGTCCAATCCGTCTTAAGAGACATATTCCACCGCCGCCTCCATCCATCGCCTCGTAACCCTGCATATATCTCCTCGAACGTAGGATCTTCCAATAATGCTAGCTCCAAGGCCTTGGCGCGGAGTGCCGTACTATTAGAGTGGTCAACGTCAATTCTAGTCAGTAAAAAAAGTGCGTATCTGGGAGCGGTATACAGAATAGCCTCGGGGTCCTTGTACGCTGGGAGCGACATCACCTTGTCGTGGTTCTCCTGCGTTGAACTTGGCGACATGCTTATGTTCGTCCAAATAGGTGGCTCTAACCCAGTCAATCCTAGTAGAAATGTGGTACGTACGACACAAGTTTTTCCCTCGCCAATTAATAAGGAAGCCAGGATGGAGGACCTGCTCTACTGGACGGCGCCGAGAGAGCAACTGTTTCCTGGCCACTGTACACGTCGCACGCGTCTGAAGTACTCTGGGTATTTGGTGCGGAGGCAGCAGCGTAGTGGAAGGGGGCTGGAGTGGGGGCGAAAACAAAGACAACGAGAGTAGGCAGGACTAGGAGAGACAGCATCCCTCACTGATGGGTCCGACAGGAAGAGGACGTAGGCAGGGTCGGATGTGAAAGCCCAAGTGGTGATCTCACTTTGGGGTGACGAGAGCAGTAGTCTGGGGAAGTTGGGAAAGGAAAAACCCCAAAAGCTGACCTCATAATTTCATTGAACGACGTAGAATCTCGCCGTCTTTCTTGACAGGGGGATGATCGTGAATCTTGATATTAGCTATGCTTGCATGTACCTTGAGACTTGTAAAGGAGGGGGTACATGTTGGTTCAGAGGCAAAATTGATGGTACAAAGACATATTGCATGCTCCGAAGCCAGTGTCGAGGTGACCACGAACGTCACCAGAAAGAATGCGATATCGCGAGTTGGCATCTGCATGCAAAAAAAAAACAGCAAAGCTGGACCATCGTTCTTCAACGGTGGGGATGCTTTTAGTAGAGAAGGGCGCCGTGGATGTTAGAGGACATTAGGGTGAAGGGGGAAGTTATCTGAGAAGTCAGTGACTGTGAGAGTATGACAAGTACCTGATTTTAAATAGATAGCTAATACAAATGTTCGGATATGGTGTAACGGCTAACATTGCCGCCTCTCATGGATAAATCCGGATTTCCGGGCTTTCCCGCGGCAGCTCGGGGTTCGATTCCCCGTATCCGAACTACAGATGTGGGCTTATGTCTACCTTTTTAGCATGTGAAATTGTCAACGTCTAACTTGCGACTTTGAAGTTTGATGGACCAAGGTCAAAATTTTGGAGTGCCTACTGATTAGAACACAGATTGAACTCGGAAGGGAGTTATACAGACACGCGAGCTTTGGCATAGTCGACGCTGAAGACCTCGACGTTCAAGTAGAGTACATAACCATCGATAGCCAAATACATATACAACTAGCGTGCTACATCACTTTTGCGAAAACAGGCACAACACTTTACGAAGAGAAGAGAGACCGAACAACGTATCCTGAGAACCTGAACGTCAGAACGGTTCTCGACGTAAAGATGTATACACATACCTATCGTATAGGAGAACTGGACCAAGGCGAAGATAAGTTTTAGCCCCAAGTATCCAGGAAAAGGAAGGTGTCGCAGGGTAAGTCAGAGAAACGCAAGAACAGCAGCCTAATTGGAAGAAATCATGTCGCTACGGGGTGAAAAGGGGGAGATGCGTAGCCTACGCGCGCATATAACGAGCTTGCTTGTCCTGAAAGAAAGCAACGGAAACGAATGTCTAGGCGCGCATATAGTCAGACGACGCTTCGGTACTAGATCCAACGCGTACCTTTGAGAGAAACTAGAGCGATGAATTATCTAGGTAAAATGTAGTAGATTCCCAGCATCTCAAAGTAATAGCACGCACCATTCAAGCATTGTGCATACCAAAAACCCTGGGAGCCGGAGCTGGTATCCTACTCTTTCCTGCCGCGGGACGTCTGCGAGGCTGAGTTGGGGCTTGCGATGGTGGGATGTTCTCCGAGTCGACGATAGCGCGTCTTAGCTTAGATTTCGTTATTCTGGGTCTGGATTTCGGCTTTGTTGTGGATATTGATGTACTGGATATCGTCGTGGTGGGTATCGCTTTTGTGGGTATCGGCTTGATGGTGGGTATTGAATTTGATAGGCGAGCCCGAGGGATGTGGAAGGCTCGACGGAGTTGGGAAGAGTGGTCGTGCTGGCCAGGAAGAGTTTCAGTACCGGGAAGGGTATCCTTCTCGTCGTCGTTCGCCTTCTCCGTGATCCGTGATCCTCTCTCCCTTTCTAGCTCCTCGTAATACTCCTTCGAGATCCATTTGATCCGTCGTCCCGGCTGTGTGCAGTCAAGCGCCTCCGCTAGTACAGTCGTGGTGGGTAGCGCCGAACGTGGCTCTTGCAGTCGCCACGTCGTGAGGATACGTATCGCCTTGGGAAGAATCTCTGGTGGAATCGAGAGTAGCAACGAGCCTATCGCCAGGTCGGAAGAGAAGGACGTGTCCGAATCTGGGAGCGCTGAATCGAGGTCGACTTGAGGTATCATGTCGGACGAGTCGACTGGAAATGATATTGAGGTATCCGGCGTGGTGAGCATGGGCGAGATGGTGGTATGAGTAGAACTAGGGGATGTTTCCTTTTTAGGGGCCATAGTATGTACTCAGCACTGAGCACATGTTAAACTCGGGCGACGGGAATCACGACGCGCGTAGTACAACAAACGTACCGTTAACAGCTTGAACTTTGAAGTTTGAATGTAGGCTCAGGCTACAACCCTAGCGCGAACAAAAGATGGAAAACACACACAATTTCGGATACGGGGAATCGAACCCCGAGTGGTCTTATCTCCACTCTCCCATTCTACCTTGATTCTACTAGAAGTGACAGTAATGGTGAACGCAACCCCCCATACTTGACGCAAAAACTCTCAAAAAGATTAATTTAGATGGTAGCAGTACAGTGAGTGATACGAAAGCAAAACAAAAAACAAAACAAAAAATGTCAAGAACGGATCACCATCCCGCGCGCGCGCCAACCATATTAGTATTCATACCCGCGCCGATCCAAGGCGTCGAGAACGGTACATTCATATTATAGTTCAGAGGCGAGAGCAAAGCGCCCGGGTTGGGAGATGCGTAGATTGGGGATGCGAAGTTCGGGGAGAAGGCTGGAGGTTGTGGAGGAGTGGGATAGGTGTTCGGGGCTGGAGTCTTTGAGGGAGGCGGTGGCCCTGACGGCGGGGAATAATTGACAGGAGGGATATAGCCTTGGGCAGGCGGCGAGTTGTTCGGCGCTTGGTAGGGACTCGATTGCGGAGCGTATGGACTGGTTTGGGTCTGCGGTGTAGAATATTGACGGCTGGATTGATTGGGTTGCTGGTACGGGCTCGTCTGAGGTGGTGGCTGGTACGGGCTGGTTTGTGACCGCGGCGTAGAATACGGACGGCTAGATTGATGCTGAATTGGTGGTTGGTACGGGCTCGTCAGAGGCGGTGGCTCATACGGAGTGTACGGGCTGGTTAGTGTCGGTGGCGCAGAATAAGGACAGCTAGGTTGATGCTGATCCGGTGGGTAGTACGAGCTTGTCGTCGACAAAGACGCCGTCGGTGACTCGTCACTCTCCGTCGACGTATCCGAGTCCAAGTCCGAATCCGAATCTGAATCCGAGTCGTCCGGCTCGACCCACTGACCCAATAGATACCTCCCCCTAGGCTTCGTCTTCTCCTTCCCCTTCTTCTCCTTCTCCCGCCTCAACCTCCTCTCCCACTCCCGAATCTCCGCCTCTTCCTGAACCGACATCACGCTCGTCTGCCTCGCAATCGTCTTAGTCACCACCCCCGGGTGCTCCCTCAACCACTCCTCCACCAGCCTCACCGCATCCCTAATCCGCACGCGCATCTCCGCGAGCTTCCACGCCGGCCACGCATCGTACCCCATCGTCGCACACTCCGCCCTCACCCACGCCTCCACGATCTCCTGCGTCCACTTCCCCCCGCCCTTCACCCTCAGCCCATTCAGGAGGATCACCACCACGTCTCCCGCGTCGTACTTCTCGTACCGCATCAGCTTCAGCCCGACAGCCCATCCCGGGGAGACACTGACCATCCGCACGCTCCCCCGCTCAAAGATGGTATTCTGCGTGAGGTTCCCCGGGTGCGTGCTGCCCTCCCACACACCCGGGGGGAGCGCCACGTCCGCGTCTGCATTCATCCAGTCCGCGCCTAGCCCGGGGAAGGCGCGGGAGGTCTCGGTGATAGCGCGTGTTATGGTCGTGCGGACTGCTTCGCTGAATGGTTTCGCGAGGTAGTCGACGTCGAGGGTGCTCTGTCGGGAGGTCGGGATCGTTTGGTAGGATGGGTGTAGGAGCATTGCGGCGCCGCCGTGGATGACTAGTAGTAGGGATGGGATGTGGTATGGCGAGCCAGGATTAGATAGTTGGTCGCAGAGGTACTTGAGGAGCGTCTCCAGCATCGGACGCGTGAGAGGGAGGGTATTAGTCGTCATCGTCGCAGCATTAAGATTGTAGTAGTAACATTCAAACGAACGGAACCTTTTTGTTTAAGCCTCGTGTAAGTCACGTGTGAAACGTCATTAACCTAAGTCCGGCCGTTGCCACTATCTCCCAACTGTGATTGGCCTATTGCTGTCCGGCGGAACAGCACACATGCGTTCTCCATACCACCAAAACGTGTTTGCAACGCGTAACTATACAGCACTATCTGACTCAATGTTCCGATATTCTTGCGGTGCAATATTCCTGTGCAATCTCTCTCACTCCCTTTCATATCAATAAACCTAATCTGTCCTCTCACGATGCTGTTTCCTTGTACAGGAAACACATATGAACGAGCTGTGCCACTTGTCCATATATGAAGAACTAGCACAGGAGCTCGGAATCCGATTCCCGAGAGTTGATGTTCTTTTCTAGATCCTCATTGTTTACCAGTTCGAACTTGGAAGGGTGGTTTACAGGCATCTCTTTTTAGGACATGACATTTGGCTTCGACGTCGAGCATCTATCACCAAATATTAGCGCGTCATATTGAAAGGCGAAAACAAGCACACCCTCAACGATAGCTATTTGAGAACGAAGAAGCCGAAGAACCCCAGGAACATCGACCAGAAGACCGAACGACGTGGCAACAAGCAATTTAGATTCGAACCTCAATATTGATGCATATATAATACACCGTTATCAGATAGACTCGGACCGAGGCGAAGAAACTAGGAACGAGCACAATCCGGAAAATGCGGGATCATCGCCTTCGTGTGAGGGAATGACATGAGAGACAGAAAGAGGTTAGAGGAAATCGTGTCGACGAGAATGGATCAGAGCCAATACTTGATAGCCTGCTTCAACTACGACGGAGCAAATATCCAAGTGCGCGACGCCTCTGTACTAGATCATCCTTTGGGCATTGTCGGCCATCTCAAAGTAACATTCAGATCCCAAAGCTTGCGATGGTGGAATGTTCGCCCTGTCTTGACGGGCCGGGCAAGGATAGGTATTGGTCAGATGGTGGGCATTGTGGGATCAGGAAGAGCATCGTTCTCGTCGTTGTATTCCTTCCGAGATCCATTTGATGCGTCGTCCAGGCTACGTCAAACTTGGGAAGAATCTCCGGTTGAAGCGGCGTAAGAGAAGGATGCGTCAGCGCTGAATCAAGGTCGAAGTATTATGTCGGACGAGTAAAGTGTAAATGATACTGAGGCATCCGGAAGGGACGAGATGGTGGTATGAGTCGAACTCGGGGCTTTCCTTTTTAGGGACCACTACTGTCTGGAAATTACCTACGCTGATCTTATGTGGATGCTAAAAATGCTGAACACAACGTAGAGTATTTTGTTCTATTTCGACACGGGATGGTGCAACACGACATAACCATCCGACAAATACAGATACAATTAGTCATACTCAAAGGCAAATTTACACCCTCAACCGTCAATAGGGCGAAGAAGGAAGAGAAGCTAAGAGTGGGAACACGCCAAAGAAATCACAGAACCACAATTTAGATGGTGATCAGAGCGCCGGCAGTATTGTCCACGTAAAGACGCATATAAGTACACCCCGTTATCACATATACTCTGGCCAAGGCGAAGAAACAAGGGACGAGCACAATCCCAAGGATCCGGAAAATTCGGTATCATCGCCTTCGTAAGATACTGCAGAAAGAGGTCGACGCATATACGTCA